ACTTTAGAGGATGGCCCTTAGCTTATGAGAATATCCTCATTTAATACACATGCTTGAATACCTTAAGATTTTTCAAGGTAACAGGTGCCACATGTATTTTGTATCAGTGTCAGTCGCATTGCATCTTGTTGATTTGTTGATATAACGGTGAAGCCGAGTTGCATAATTAGTATGTGGGGTATGATGGGTGATGATAAATTATGTATGTACTAGTATAATCATTACGAATTATAATTGATGATTATTTTTCTTGGAATCTTGCATGACATATCTGTCGTATGCTTATGATTATATAACTTATTATATTGTTGTGATATCTCACCCCTTCTGTTTGAATGTTGCCTCTATGTGGGTAACCTGCAGGTGATCCATAGTAGACGAGGTTATTCGTTATTTATTTTTGAGTCAGTATCGTGCTCTGATACATAACACCAGGGGGTGAACATTTGCTTGTTTTGTTTAGTTGTTGTTTTATTTTAAAGAATCGTGGAAGTATTGTAAACTCTCTTTTATTTCGTTACAACATTAGTTTATGATTGGTTGAAGATGTTGAATAATAAAATATAATTTCTTTTATGCTACATTAATAAAGTTGAAGTTTGAGAAGTATTTTGAAAATGTTGTCGGTTCATCCGAAAGTGTGTTATGTATCTATTTATTTAGACTTGAGCAAGTTTATGATATGTTGAAAGATGTGGCATCTTATTCTTGATGTTTTGATTTAAAAATTTATTCACTCTATTTTTGTTAAACTACCGATGGAGAAAATAGGGTGTTACAAATAACATCTTTAGGAGGAGAACTTGTAATAGAAATTCGAAACGTCTCCCAAGAATCTGGTAAAGATAGAAATAGTCTCAAAGGTTCATCATCAAATTTGATACTCATTTCTGACATCTGATCAAGGAGCCATTGAAATTAACTCAATTGATTTGAAATAGAAATCCCATCCCTATACTTCAAACTTATGAAGTTATTCAATAAGAATAATTTATTATTCTATGATTTAGAGGCATACAAGGACTATATCTTCTCCCACAAAGTTTTTGCATGTGTCTCATTAGAAATATGATTATAAACATTATCTTATACATATTGTCGAATAAAACCACATACTTGTTGATGTTCAAATTCCCATTCTTCATCAGACAGAATTCGGCTTTGCAAAACTAAAAACTGGTAAATACAATTTCTTCACAAATATTAAGTCTTTCATCTTTCCCTTCCATAAATGGTAATTAGAACCATTCAACAGTACCATTTTCATCTTTGAATTTGACTCCATCATTCAAACAAGTAAAATATCCCTTAACCAAGAGCTCTGATGCCACTCTTATAGGAAATTAAGACAAAATAATAAAACAATATGCAGCGGATATAATATTTCTCAAATTTGTAGGAACCTTGAGGATCAACAACAAATATAAGACAAAAATCAAACAATAAAAGCACAATAAAACACTGATATTTTTAACGTGGAAAACCCCTCAATATGAGAGTAAAAACTATGATTCATCCAGACCAAAGAAAATAGGTCCACTATAATTAATTGAGGTTACAAGAGAGTCTTAAAGTGATTCACAAAATAATGATAACAACCTCAAATCACAAAGCAAACTAACTTACAAATAAGAATCAAAAAGCTGAAAATTTTCCCAAATCTGCAGCTTCAATGCGAAGACCATATCTCTCAACTCATATTTTTTTTGAAGATCCCAACGGTTGAAAGTTAGACATATGTGTTGCGAATAAGCCCACCAAATTTCAGATTGATCTGATGGTGAACGGATATGGGATCATCATTTTAATGAGACTGCTATAGAAAAATCGGGAATGAATTTCTTTCCTCTTTTCTCTCTTTTTGAATCTTTATTTTTCTCTATCTCTCTTAACCCTAAATTTACACTCTCCAATTATATAAGTGAGATAAATAGGCTATTCATATTTGGATCTTTTTCCGCATAAGAAAGGGAGTCCAAGCCCAATAATCTGTTCCGCTCCCCCACTGAGCCTAACCAAGTTCTAATATCACTTGTTGGAGAGTCTGGAGAGCATCAGAAGTATCAATAGGCTAAACATTCAGGATTCAAGATACCATGACATCACATATCCATCCAAAACCTTAAGATAATAGGGGTATGAGTTCTTTCTCTTATAAATTCAACATTTCATCAATTTCTAGTTGATGTGGGACTTAACCACTCACACTTGAATCCTAACAATCTCTCTCACAAGTGTGAGTCACCCACCACACCTGAATCCTAACAATCTCTCCCACAAGACTAGCCTTGATCGATATTAGGATCTCATTTCCACTCTCCCATAGAGCCGAAAACATGCTCTAATACCACTTGTTGAGGAGTCCAAAGAATTCCAGAAGTGTCAATGGTTAAATGTTCAGGATCCAAGATACCTTGAACCACATCTACCCAAAACCTTAAGGCATTAGAGGTATGGATCATTTCTCTTATAAACCCAATAATTTCTTCATTTCTAGTCGATGTGAGACTTAACCACTCACATTTGAATCCCAACAATCTTCCCACAAGTGTGAGTCACCCACATCACTAGTCTTGATCTATATTGAGATTTCTTGTGTTCCTCTATCAAGTCTAATCAGGCCTTAATACCACTTGTTGGAAAGTTCGGAGAACGTCTGAAGTGTCAATGAGATAAATATTCACGATCTAAGAAACTTTGACATCGCATATCTATTCAAAATTTTAAGGCAATTGAGGTATATATTTTCTCTCTTATAAATCTAACATTTCATCTATTTTCGCTTCCTAAACTATCGAACACTTTTAATCATTTTAAATACTAACTATAAGTGTAGAATTTTGACAAAATGATTATCTTTAAAAATATATACACTTTGATTTATATCTCTAAAGAAGAATCCTTTGATTCAAAAGACTTTTTATTTTTATAAATTAGGTGTCCTCTACACATAATTGTAGAGATTAATCTGCGAATTGGAGAAAATTATAATAAAGAGTAAAAAATTTCCTCAAGAGAATTACACTACTACATGTCCAAAACTAAATTCAAACTCAGAACCTCTCTGATTAAGCTAATTATGCTAATTACTTCGATTTCAAATTCAAAGTTTTACACATATAATATGTGTTTCAAAGTTCAGTTTTCATTAAAGTAGTAATGACATATCAGAATTATATCAACCGAAGTCCTCTAATTCAAACATAAATTAATTATTCCAAACAACCGCATCCACCTTATTTCATGTTTTGTAATGCAACTTCATTGAGAAACTGCCCTAAATATTACACCTCCAGCTATTTCAAATTAAAATCAACTAATTAAATTTATTATAAGCCAGATCACCTTCGCTGTGATTTAATCATTCTTTTTGACCAGTGTGACATATTTAATTTGGTAACCTTCCATAGTACTAAAAGCTAAGATAAAGACACAATGAATAAACAAACAAATATAACATATGCCAGTGAAATTCGGTGTTAAGTGTCATATTCATAATATGAATGGGACCCTTTTCACATTTCAGCATAAAATGTCTACCTGTTGACAACCTATACACAGAATCAAAAGTTGAGGAAACCTCATCCTCTCTAACACTTCCACACGTTTTGATGAGGGCGTATCCTCAATCCTCATATGTCATATCCTAATCATAAATATTCCACCGTTCAAAAATGTTAATCTTTCCGTTTAAAATAACATAAATTAAAGAATACAATAATATTATTATAAAATATTATATTTTTATAAAATTAATTTTATTAATATATTAGAAGTAGTATAGAGAGTAAAAAATAAATAGGTATAATTGAAAAAATAATAAGCATTAATATATTAAAAAATAAAATTTAAAATAATATTTATTTATTAAAACGATAGTCATGTTGAAACGAAAAGAGTATCATTCTTACTATATTTGTATCAGTCATACAAAAATAAAACAAATATTTTCTCAAACACTTCTTAAAATATGGAGATTTGACCGAAAGAAATCGATATTTTCTCAAACAACTTCTTAAAATATGGAGATTTGACCGAAAGAAACCGATATTATTAGATTGAACACTATTATTAAGATTTGAACCCTGATACTCAGTTGTATGAATAAATTTTTAGTGATTATGATCACTTAGTAGGAACCGATATTTTTAGGTTAAAAAACATTATTACTCTATCATAACTTAAAGATATTTTTAGGTTAAAAAACACTATTAAAATTAGAACCCTAATACTCACAGTTGTATGTTTGAATTTCTAATAATTATTGTCACTAATGTATGCGGACAAAATAAATTACACATGAAACACACATTAACATAAATATGTTTTCAGTAGTATATTTTAACAGATTTAAATAAATGAATTGCTTTAGATGTGTTTAAATGAAATATATCCTCCGTAAGATAATTATCAAAAGAGTTTAATAGGGATGCACTAAAAGGATAAATTGTTACTTTTATTTGGTAAAAAATTGAAGGAAATGTTTAGTTTAAAAAGTAGAAACTTCTATTTTGTAAAAATTGAAGGAAATGTTTAGTTTAAAAAGTAGAAATACGCGCCAAAGCAATCCATGCAACCTCGACTGTTAATTAGAGATCAAACGACTGGTGTTATATCACAAAATTCCCTTTCATGGATCTCAACCGACAGTCAAGATTGAAAACTATGCGTCTGGTAGTTACTGCAAAATTTCATTTCGAGTGAGACACCTGTAACCAATGCCTTGCAGGTCTTATAAATCATGGAGAACCCTAAATTAGGTGTTTGGTTTCCAAATATTAAAATTACAACAACCTCATTATACAACAACACTTGGTCTCCAATCTTGTGTGTTCACATATTACAACATAGATACTCATGATAATGAATCAGAAACAATAATACAAAAGGAATAATATTAGGTAAATTAACAAGTAAAATTCATATTTGCTTAAATCAGATTTCACTGTCCAACTTGAGTGTTTAACCATGTAATGTAAGGAATCCTTACTAGATAAACCTCAACGTCCTTTTGGATTCATGATCTGTGAAAACACAGCACTAGGAGTTAACCCATCAGAATCTTCACTAGCCAAGCTTCTCCCACCAATGCTCATAGACATGCCACTGCTTTTGGAGTCAGTCACATTACCATCATAACCCGGCATCGCATCCATGTCCTTCTTTCCTTTTGAATCTGTAAACAATGGCTCGTCTTCACCGCATATTCCGCCAAAACCGCTGCCACTCTCCTCCGCGCTTTCTTGCAACTGCAAAGCAAATTCCAGGTTCCATAGCACATCGCCCATGGATGGCCTTTCAATGCCTTGGTCGTTCACACACTTCATCGCGGTCTCGGCGAACTTCTTGAAACATTCTGGAGCTATCTTGCCCTTTAGATAAGGATCTGTTATTTGATCAAGGATGCCTTTTTTGTAGCAATGATATGCCCACTCAGCTAGACTGACTTGCTCCTTAGCAAGTGTTGGGTTCAAAGCCGGGCGAGCACAGAGTATCTCAAATAGAACCACACCAAATGAGTACACGTCGGATTTGTCGGTAAGTTGTTGCCTCCTGAAGTATTCTGGATCCAAGTAACCAAAACTACCTTTTACCACAGTACTTACATGAGTATTATCCAATGTAGGACCTGTTTTCGACAAACCGAAATCAGAAACCTTGGCCACCCATTTCTCATCTAGTAAAATGTTTGTTGTCTTCACATCACGGTGAATGATGGTATGTTTTGCACCGGTGTGAAGATAGTGTAAACCGCGAGCAGCTCCGATGCATATCTCAAGCCTTTGCTTCCATGGAAGTGGAGGTTTCTGGGTCTTGTATAGATGCTCCCTGAGTGTTCCATAGGCCATGTGATCATAGACAAGGATCATTTCGGTGTTCTCTTCACAGTATCCGATCAGTGAAACAAGGTGACGGTGACGAAGTTTGGAGAGCATTTCAATTTCAGTTTGGAATTCGTGCACACCCTGCTCGGAAAGTGGATTCCCACGTTTAATTGCAACTTTCGTTGACCCACCGTCAATTTCTCCTTTGTAAACCTTGCCAAACCCTCCCACACCAAGAATCAAAGCCTCGTCGAAGTTGTTTGTAGCAGCCTTGATTTCAGCAAATGAGAAATGGCGACAAAGATTAGCCGGAAGAGAGGATGCATAACTTCCTGTCGTGTTGGTCTTGGCAGAAGCTGCTGAGTGTGAATTACCGTAAAGAGAAAGTGGAAGCCAGCCAGACGGCCCTTCAGTTGTACTAGAATCTTTTCCACTCCTGCGTCTTCGGGATTTGCTAAGAGCAAATAGACCAATCACAAGTAACAAAACAAATCCTCCAACAACACCTCCAGCAATGATTCCTATATGATTCTTAGATTTACCGTGACTAGATTGCCTCGCCAATGAGGCGTCAATTTTTTCTTGCACCACAAGAGGAGGAGGGTTTGTCCCTGCCAGATTACCTTTACTATCACTGATTTTGAATATCTCTATTCCATTCAAGATTGCGTCGTAGTAATTTGGCTTATCAGATTTATCTGGATGCAGTGCAAGCCAAAGGTCCTGTCGTGGCGGCCCATTGGGAACAAATACAACATAATCTTTATGCACCGGAACCCCATTTGAATGTGGAAGGCTATAACTATTTGCCCAGCCAATAACATCAGCCCCATCCTCAGCAGTTTGATTAGCAAGGAATATATTAAATACCCTTTGATTAATCTTGGTTATATTCGTCGTGCCTTCACAAAAATGAAGTCTCACAAGATAGGAAAACCCAGAATCAATTGAGAAAATCCAAGTCAAGTTGTAATTCAAATTGATATTGGGATTCGGACCCATCGATCTGGCCGTCGAGTAGACATCAGTCGGAGCAATATAACTCGGTGTGCCCGGAGGATACTCAATCTTCACTGCTGAATCCGCAATCTCGGTAACTCCAAGTCCGGCCCCATAGATGTAAAGCACATCATCGTTCCACGACCTAAACATGCCGGTATCGTGGGAGGGTGAGATATCATTCCCACCCACGTTTAACCTATAAACATTCTCAAGTGCAGTGCTGTTGTCAATTGGGAAGCTAGTACCTGTACCAACCATCAGTGTTGTTCCATCAGGAGAAGTATAAATATCAGGCATGGACACAACCTCAATCCCATTAACAAATGCATAGGCTTTAGATGCATTTGCAGATGGAGTAAAAGTCACATTCAAGGTTCCTTCATCAACATGAATTGCATATTCCTTCACAATATATTGAAAATTCAAACCCAAAATAGTCTCAAAAACACTGAAATTCCTAAGCACGGTATACGATTGTGCTGTCACGCCAAACCGTGCATCAGATATATTGAGGCTGTTATAAGAAGCCGGATAAAAGTACAACCGGAGGAACTTCCAACCAGAAGCCACCGGAAAACTGTAGGTATAAGCCGATTGGAAAACACGCGCTGTCATGAAGGGAATCTGAGGAACAGAAGGATCTTGAGTTGCAGCCTGTGCCGGGTTCGATTTACCAGTTGAAGAACCAAACTTGGAACCATTATCAGTGGTCCATTCACGGCCATCAGGATCAGTACTAACAGCAGGACCTCCACAACTCAGCAGGATTTTATCCGTAGGCTTAAAATCCGCTGCTAGAACAAGTTCAATAGCTAACACCAAGCACACAAACAGTGGAACACAAACATAGTATCCATTCATGTTCCTCTTCATGGTACACAACAAACCCTTGTTTTATTTTTTCCTGCTTACAACTGCAAATAGTTTGGGATTGCAATTAAATTTACAATTTAAACAGACCCAGAATTGTAAAACAAACAAAGAGCTTATATTTGATTCAAAGATCTGATTTTTATAACACCCAGATCAGAAAAGTAAAGTGGAGTTATGTGGGGTGTTATGATCAAATTGGAACAAGAGTTACCAAAATCAGCAAAATTCAACAAGGGAAAAATGATGAACTAGATTTAGAGTTGAGAGGAGATTGTTTAACAAAAGAATGGTGTGGGAAAATCAAGTTGAAGATGGTGTGAAGGAAGATAAAGTTTGGAAGAAAGAGAATGGAATTTTACCTTATGTCATGGGAACAAAATGAGCTGAAAAGGGAAGAAACTCGGTGAGTCAAAGCGGAACGATCCCGTGAATTTAGGGTTGATTAGATTTGCTAGTTGAAGTTTCCAGTTGAGAGAGAGAGAGAGAGATATTGTTGAAGAAGGAGATGGAGTGAGAAAATTGCAGATACTAAATAAAAAAAAGTACAATTATTTAAATGCTGCACCCAACTTCTCTAACATGTATTAAAAAATGGAAATAAATATCTATAAATTTTAGACAAATGTCAATATCTCTTAAGAAAATAGAAAACGCTTATTTTCGACAAACATACATCAAATAACATGTAGCACTAAATTATAATAGATTAATGATTTTTGGGTTAAATATACTCATGAAATGTGGGCAAGTTTTGTTTTAATTTTATAAAAAAATAATTTAATTTCTTGTGTAATATTTTTTTATTAAGTGTATAATTTAAATACTATTTCTGAAAGGTAAATAAAAAATATATATTATAAAAGTAACTTGTGCATTTAAAAAATAAAAAACATAAAATTTTAACATTTTAAAATATTTAAATTTTTTCTTACATGAGATAAATTAAATCTCGCTTATAATATAAATATTATTTATCTTATAATTTTTATTGAATAATAATATAAACGCCATTGATAAAAATTTATTAGCTAAAGTATTATGTGTTGAATTTCAATTTAAAATCTTAATGTGAATTTTGAATAATTACTGTTACTTTATTAACTTTTTCAAAAATTCTTCAAATAATTATATTTTTTCATTAATTTTCAAAACGAAATAATTGACAACCAGGAACACATGTAAATTTAATTGACAATTGTATTAAAAAAATAGAATTAGCACTAATTAAATTGACAACTACCCAAAGATATATCAATTGAATTGGAGAAATAAGTGAATGAATTAGCAAATACACTTATTTCTTATACACAATAGTATAGGAATTTGGTTATTTAATTAAAAAATGAAATTTTTTTGGTTATTTTGATTAAAAAAAAATCTCAATTTTTTTGATTAAAAATGTGAGAAAAAGTAAGGAAAACAAATTTGACCTTTAAAATCAATTTTCCATCATCTTTCCGCAAACGGTGGAAGCAAACTTATCCTTAAACTCTAATAAATTCAATGTAATTGTTTTACTCATTTATCTATTATTATCGTACCTAATCCCATTATAAAAATAAAATAAAAAAATTACACCACCTCCACTTAAGGATTGAGGTATACAAATTGACATTATAATCTCTCTAATGTTAAATATACATTAAGTTTTTTCTAAAAATTGTATTACCTTATTGTAAAAATTTCAAATAAAATGTCATTAAATTATCTTTTTAATAAAGTTTCACATTACTTAATTTAATAATTAATATTAGTAGTTCTTTTTGTTGGTGATAAATTAAGCGTTGTTAGTTAGTGACGCTCCTTTTAAATCATGATACAAAAATTTAACCGTAATGAATCTCTAGATTTTTGTTTCTTATTGTTGTGGCGGGCCTTCACTCTTGCAAAAATTTGACTTTTGCTGTAATATTTAAATGGAGGCGATACATGTTCAATTCAATTTGAACAATGATGTGATTATTAAATAATTATATTTGTCCATAATAGATTGGTAGCAAAAAAATGCTGTTTGGAAAGTCACTCTCTCAATGAAAAACCAAACATATTGTTAATAGTTTATTATTTTATTTTTTTGTAAGAATTGTTAATAGTTTATTAATCTTTAGTTGAAAGGGTCATCTTGTGCTGCTACTGCGTGCAATGCAGTTTGTACTAATTAACGACCACCGTTTAATGTTGTTATTGATTAGTTTATTATGTCATTTTCATATTATTCTTTTGAAGGAATAAAATTTAAAAGTATACCGTATAATACTTCACATTTCTATTAGCCTTTTTCTTTAAATAATTATATATAAATTTCAACCACAAATTTAGACACGATTTAAATGATAAACTTTTTATATTTTTATATTTAATATAACCCATTTTTACAAATTCAGTTTGTGAATTTTTTTTTTTTAATTTTTAATTTTTCACTGGTAAGATGTTGAGAAGTACATAAATTATATACCGGAAGAATATGCAATATGCTTTCGAACTATTAGAATTAAAGTTGATTTTAACTCAATTTTACAAAATGATTTATGAAAAAAAACCGTCACTCTATAAATTTATTTTAAATTTTATCTATATTTAATGTGGGTGTGATTTTAGATTTTCTCAATACATTTATTTGAATTTATATTTGTTAAAAAGTATAAGTGTATATGATATTTTTGTGCAGTTAAGAGATATTCAGAGGTCTTAATAGTTGGTGATGGTTAAAGTCTTTTCACAGCGGTGAGAGACCTTGTTTGATAATATTTATGGTGTTTATGGTAGTAAGAGATGATCAGTTCACGTGAGGTGAGATACTTTGTGTATAAGCATTATACATATTAAGTTATGATTTGTTCGTCTTTAGTTTAGGGAAGAAGTATATATACTTTTAGGCCTAGGATTTTGGAAACCTCAAGAAGTGGTAACCGCTCCCCTTAATTGGAGGAGACTACTGACCACCTATTTTCAAGGAAGTCGTGGTATGACTCAGTCTACACGACTAGTGGAGAGATAACAGTGTTATACACGTCATTTATCCTAAGGACATGTCTCATGCTCTGTAGAGATAGCACCCGCGTGATGCCTTACGAGGCGAGGGCCCAGACATCGCCCTTATTTGAGTCTCTCCCAAATATAACACTACATAGTCTCTCAAGCGCGAGGGTTTGTAATGAGCGAAGTGTTTTAAAGCTTCTTTTTGGTTTTGTCTCATGGTCTAGGTGAGTTCTTTGATGGGAGACAAGTCCCTTAGTTAGGGTCATGTCCCTCGGCTGGAGATGTCCTTTTTGAATAAGAGGTAAGTCCATCTTCTTGGGGCGAGTTTCTCAGCTAAAGGCATCCCTTTTAATGAGGGTCAGTCCCTCGGCCAAAAGGGGCGAGTATTTACCTTTTTCCAGATGTTTTCTAGGTAGCCAAGCGTTAGTGAGAGATATCATGTTTTATTTTATTGACCTTAGAGATGTAAAAACATTAGTTAAGTATGAAAGCTTTCTTGGTGGAGAGATAGTGTGGGTAGTATTTAATGCAACTCATGATGGCTTTCTTAGAAAACCAATTTAACTTCTTTTTCTTACACGTGTTCTTCATGTGTAAGAACTTTCCACTCCTCGCGATAGTTACTCCATTGGGTGGATATATTGCTTATGTCATTGAACTTCTATAAAGATATTGATACATTACCCAAGAGAGACATTTTCTCGTCTCCTTTAGGTTCTTCGTTTTTGCTTCCTCAAAAAAATATATAGGACAAAGACATCTTTGGAGAAAAAAGGGATACAACATTCGTTCTTTCTCCTAGGGCGCAAACGCTGATATCCCTGCTTTTTTACCTGAGGCTAATGGCTAAGAAGAACATTAAGTGTGTTCATGTTTGAGATGTTGCATCCTATTACTCCAACCCTGACATGATGAGCAAGTTTCGTTAAGGGATTGGGTTTTCCAATACAGGGCGTGGAAATGATGTGATCATGGAACCTTGTTCAGAAATAGAGATGGAAAATATGAACAGCTCTGACGAGTCATCTACTCCTTATTTTTATTTTCATTTACCAGTCATCCACGAGCTGGGAGTCCTGGTCCCTTTTACTTTCTTTGAGGTAAATTTTTTGACAATTGTCAACGTTTCCCCCTCCCAAACCAGCCTTAATATATTGAGTATCCTTAGGGGTTTCCAGATAATTTGTTGTAATTTGGGTCTCACCCCACTGTTTGGGTGTTCCTTTCTTTCTTTGGCACAAAGATTCTCCCTAATAGGGGTTGGGTAATGTTGTGCTCCATGCCAGGCAGGTGTTTGATAAAACCCTATATGGAGCCTTATGAGAATTAGAAAGATAAGTTTGTTAGGGTGAGAGAGCGAGGTGATGCCTTTATGGTGACCACAGGGGCGACATGTGTCCCCCTCTTTCCTCTTTCATGGACATCGGATCCTTAGCTTATAAAAGGGGTGGATTCACGCATTCTTTCCCCCATTGATTAGGATATGATCCAGATTTTGGGTTATTTTCGAACCCTGATATCGTGTACTCTAATCACCCAATACCATGAAGATAATAACAAGGTAAAAGAGTACTCGGGAAAGCTTGATGGTATAAGAAAAAATATTTTGTTATGATCTCTTGTTTACTATCTTACATGTGCTAATAAATAAAAACCATCCTTCTTTGCAGATGATATGATTGGGATTTCTTTTGGCAAGATAAAAAAGGTTTGGTTTGGATGCAAGCTACGCAACAGTGAGTAGGCTTTCCTTTGCCCTTCCCTAAGGATTTGACTACTGATGGAAGAAATTCGCAGTGTGAAACATCTCGGGTTGGTGAAGCTCTCCCTCCAAGAATCCAAGGCGGGAGGAGGGGTCTTCTGTACCGTTAGGAAGCCTCCTAGTAACATAAGAAGGCCAGAAAGAAGTGGTGGATATGCACATCCTGAACATTCCCTATGGAATATTGATACTTTTAATGCATTGAAGTTCTCTGAGCACCATCTCCCTTTCATAGAGTTTTCCCGATGATTACTAGTCA